CCATAAAATTTATTCTCTTGTTTTAACTTCTCATTATCTTTTTCCAGATTTTCAAAATCATTTTCAAGAGTGGAGAGGCGTTTCTTTAACGATTTGTTGATTTTAGAAGCGCTAACAAATTCATCATAAAGTTCATGAAGTGCTTCTTGCATTTCTTCAAAGGTGTAAGAGTCGGAAGAAATGGTACATACCTCTTGTACATCGTCGGTTTGGTCTTCGTGCGTGATGAGACAGAGGTTGGAAGTTTCATCCTCGTCTTGATCGGTTGACTCGTCGCCGGAGTCGCCACCCCAAGAGATATATGCCCTTTGCCTTTTGAAGTGCCGAGCATTCCTTCCGCTTTTCGGGCATTTGTTGTTGATGTGCCCGGCTTCACCATATCCATAGCACACAGGGCCATCCTCAACCTTTTCTTTCTTCCGTAGAAGTTTACAAAACTTCTTCATGACAAGCTTGACTTCATCATCGTCGCTTGAATCATTCATCGTTGATTTTTTGACGGCTTTTAATGTTATCCCTTTCCTTTGGTCATTCAAATACGGGTTAAGAATAGTAGATTCATAGGTTTTTAGATTACCTCTTAGACCGTCGATGGTGACATTTGATGTGCCGATTGATTCATAAATGGCATCGGCCTTGGATCGCCATTCGGATGTCATGCTCCGTAGGATCTTTCGCACAAGATCCTTGTCGGTGTAAGTCTTCTTTAATGCATGAAGATCGTTGACTATTTTGGAAAATCGATCGAACATGTCGTCAATCTTCTCGTGCTTCTTCATCCTGAACATCTCATACTCTTGGGTGAGGAAGTCGATCTTGGCTTCACGTACTTGGTCCGTTCCTTCGTACGTCACCTCGAGCTTATCCCACATCTCCTTGGCGGTTGTGCAGCAGGATATCTTGCGGTAGTCATCAGGATTTACGGCACAATAAAGCATGTTTATTGCCTTTACATAATTCTCGACCTTTTTGATGTCCTCAGCATCAAACTCGTCTTCGGTCTTGGGGATCAACTTGTCTCCGACTTTCTTCATCGGCACCTCTTCCCCGTTTTTGATAACCAACCATAATTGGAAGTTCGTGGAACGAATATAGATTCTCATTCGTTCTTTCCAATATGTATAATTGGTTCCATCAAAAAGAGGTGTCCGTGTAGTTGATTGACCTTCTCCAATCCCTGCATAAAGATTTCTAGAAGAAGAACCCATGATCGCTTTACTCTCAAACGGTTAAGTTTGAACGCGAGTTAGGCTCTGATACCAATTGTTAGAATAAGTACCCTTCACTAGAGGGGGGGTGAATAGTGAGGCACGAGAATGTTTATAAATTTTCGCGGAATAAAAATCGCAGGGATAAAGTAAAGAGCGGAATAAGAAGGAGTAAAGGGAGCACACCAAGATTTACCCTGGTTCACCACAACTTGTGGCTAATCTAGCCTCCCGAGAGACTCTCTCGAGCTACACTACTTCCGTTAAGCTTACGGGTGCTTAACAAACCGTTACAACCTGAGAACTCGAGTCCCACGAGCCTCAACAACACTTGCTCGGAGATACCGCACTCCAAGACTTCAACCCGAAGGAAAATACCTTTCCTTCGTACAACCAAGGGAAACAAGCTTCCCT